ATGTATGTTTTCAGATCAATTTACACATATTTTATACTTGTGTCTCTGTGGGGAGGGTCATTTGCTTTCATCAACAATACCTTTAATGAAATATCACCCATTAGAACACATATGGTCTCTTTAAATCCCTATACTTCATAATGTTCACATTTTCCTTATTTTTATTTACTTATTTTATTCTTGTTACATCATTCAATACATAATTTGTTCTGTAACTTTGATACCTTCACACACACACACGGTGATGACAGAAGCGAGTTGCAGAACACGCTGGCGCATCAAAGATCCAAACAACAGCACCATCCATCCACTCACTCATTACATTCATACCTATTGTACATGTTTTTAGTGGTAACCGAAACCTTCTTGCTGAGAGAATGCGAGAGTGCTATTCACTGTAAAAAGGAAAAGTTAGTTCAACTCAAAAGGCAACCGACTGCACAGAATTTTTGAGTTGAAGGCATCAAATTATTGTTTTACGTTTTGAAGAACTACAATTATTAAGTTCTGCCAACTATGTTTTTTTATTTGCATTTCTGGGACAGAGGGGTGGCAGTCAGAGCTGCACCCAGTACACAGAGCAACGACAGCAGTCATCAGTGGGAGTCGTGAAGTAGGTCTTGTGGTGGGCTCGAACCCACGACCTTCAGGCTCAAAGGCCAATGCTCTACCAACTGAGCCACTGTCACCCATTCACTAGTTCATATGAAATCTCAATCTATTTATTCATTTATTGTTTATTTGGTTGGGACAGTACATGTTAATGAACACATCACTCCAGATTGTAGCCATTGGCTAATTTTCATCCGTTGTCCCACATTCACCCTCACAAACTCATTCACCCTGAACTATTGCACATGTTTTCAGTGGTAGGGGAAACCGGAGTAGCCGGAGGCAATCTACGCAGACACAGGGAGAACATGCAAACTCCACTCAGAAAGGTCCTGTTCCGACCGGGATTCATACCCAGAACCTTCTTGCTGAGAGGCGAGAGTGCTATCCACTCAGCCACCGTGCTGAGTGGATAGCACGGTGGCTGTAATCAAAGAAACAAGTCCATGGCTTTGCAGATTAAATGTGGATACATTTATTATATTGCATGATAAGAGATGGCACTGCACTTCCCTGTAATTGTTTTTTTTTTTCTTTCTTCATTCATGCAGATCTGTGTAGCACTGTATCCTACAGCAAATTTCCCTTGGGACCATAAAGTTTATCTTATCTTATCTTATGGCTTTTTCTTTATGAGCGTTTCCAGAGGGTTTTACTATCCTGCTAATATAGTTTCTTTAAAGTCATTCTCTCTATGGACTCAGTTGGTGCAGCCTCAATGTTATTCTGTAAGGGCAGTTGCCTTGGACACACATACATCACTCTCCTTTTCAGTGGAGCGTTATGTAATATTCTGCTCTTGTGTAATGGGCAATGTAATCGGGCATTATGGGGTGGCATAATTGGATGGCATTTGAGGCCACTCTGATCAGACACTGCATTAGTGCTTTGTCTTTACTCACTGAGCAGTAGTAAGCCTGTAGTTTAAAGATTGCATACGTCTGGGCTCAGACCACAAGGCATGCAAAGACTGTTTTAACTGTTCTTTTGTACACACAGAAGGATGTATCGCTTAGCCTAACTGACTACTCTTGGGTCATTTAATCTGTAAAACATATGTGCCTGATTCCACCTGCAGGTGGATCACTGACTTCCTGACAGACAGGAAGCAGCGATTGCGTCTGGGGAAGATTGTCTTGGATTCTAGGATTATAAAGACAGGATCCCCACAGAATCAGAATCATTTTTATTGCCACATAAGTAACAGGAAGTCACAGACTTGGATATTGCTTTGGCTCAGTGCAACAGTCAGAAAGAGAGGTAAAGAGTAGAGAAGGCATAATAAAAAAATAATAATTAATATAAAATTAGCAGCACTTCTAACAAATACAATCTAAAATAGAATTAATACGATTACAATTACACAATATAAGGTGACAGCAGTAAAGTGACGTTATAAAGGGCAGTAAGGGGACTGTATAAGGGGCAGTAAGGTGACTTCTAAAGGGCGGGGGGAGAGGTTATGAAGTGTTCAGGAGTCCAACAGCAGAGGGCTGGAACCCACAACCTTCAGGCCCAAAGGCCAATGCTCTACCAACTGAGCCACTTTTGCCCCTAAATGTTACTGTTTTGTAAGATATTAAGACCAAATCAATGTGAGTGTGTATTTTGATGTCAGACTTCAGCTAATGTTTAGTAAAGTGAATCTTGTGAAGAAGCCAAAAACAATACAAATTAATGGAAGAGTTCTTGAGAGAGTAGAGAACATCACATTTTTAGGAATATATTTGGATCAATTTTTGAACTTTAAAAAATACATAGATTACCTAATCAAATGAACTATCTAAATTTCTCAAATTGAGACATTATCTACCCCTTGAAGCTCTCCTAACTCTTTACCGGTCTGTATTTGAACCACACCTTAATCATTGTAATGCAATATGGTGTAACACGTATCCAAGCCACCTTGAAAAGCTACAGATTCTGCAAAATAAATTAATTTGTGTAATTTGCTTGGTCTAAATATGATGCTCCCTCTGATCCTCTCGTTTACAGGTTTAAGCTACTGAAGCCCACTGAGTGCAAATTTTTTCATAATGCTTGCATTATGTATAATGTAGTATACAAACTAAATGCTAGGCTCTCCAGTCTCATCCCGGTGACCAGTGCTCCCCACAGTCACAACTCAATAGAGGGATACCCTTACAGCTGGGGAAAAAGCGCAAGCTGAAGTGCACTAGTTTTAGCGTAGCATGCAAGGGCCCTGAGATCTGGAATGAGCTGGACAGCTCCATAAAAGAATCATCTTCTCTTAATATAAAAAAAAAAATTCTAAAGCATAAACTACTGCTGCATTATGCATAATGCAACCCCCTATAGCGGACAATCATCTTAATATTATATTTGGTCTTGCCCCTGTAAGATCTGAATGAATGAGTACCAACATGAGTACCAACATGTACAGGTTTTAATTCTATTTCCTGTACCATGTTATTGCAGAACTGATGTGAGTGTGTTGAAGCGGACTGTATATGTTTGACAGACATGGGTAAGGCATGACTGCTACTGGCAGTCTTAAAATGCATTGAACTGGGGTGGGGGGTTGAGGGGGTTGTGGGAGGATGTTTTTGTTGTTGTTGTTGTTGTCCTGTTTTTCGACATGTGAATGTTATTGGGCCCCCTACATATAAGCAGTTGTGCTTCATGGGAGTCCCTTCACAAACCTAAATGTTTAAAGTGTAAAAGATGTGGATTTAACTCATGTTTGTGAACAAATAATAATAATAATAATAATACACAAAGGAAAGATGTTTGAAAGTGGAACAAAAATACTCGTAGGTTTTGTATCTATAAACATACATTGTAATACTAAAATATTTACTTTTATGGTAAATTCCATATATTTTTTTATGGTTTACATCAATGAAGTTCTGACAAAACACAACATTCTGGAATGGTGACTTTCTGAGAGCAGTGACTTTGAATGGGGGAGAGGAGGAGGCAGAGGAGCAAGAAGAGTAGCAGCAAGTGGAGGAGGTGGAGCAGCCAGAGGTGCGAGGAACAGTGAGAAGAGCAGGGCCTGTTGGTTAAAAAGAAGCCCCCTTTTGCATTAAGAAAAGATAAGAGATCTTATATTCGTTTTCAATTCCAAACTAACATACTCATCACCACTTCGGGGGCAACAGTGGTTGCCACTGTCGCCACAAGAGCATAGGCCTTTGAGCCCGAGGGTCGTGGGTTCGAGCCCACCACGAGGCCTTCTCCTCTGACCACTGATGTCTGCTGTCGTTGTGTCCATGGGAAAGACACTTGACCCACTTTGCCTACAAGGAGCGCGGAAGTGATGTTTGCTGCTTGCCTTGATGTGTATATGTACATGTATATGCATCAAACTGAAATTTCCCCATTGTGGGACGAATAAAGGACATATTTTTCCATTTGATTTTCATCACTACCTGTCCTCTGTGTAGTTGTGACTGCACCTCCTGGAGGAGGAGGGATGATGCCGGATAGAGGACCCAGGGCTTTTCCTTTTTGAGAGTTATGGGTTTAAATTTAAGTTTAAGTTCATTACTTTCTGCAAAAACTTAGAGAATTTACCACTAACTCTAAGATTCTGCTTAACTTTTATCGCTGCACCATTGAAAGTTTGCTTGTTTGTTCTGAGACTGTGTGGTTTGGTAACATCACAGCCAAAGTGAGGAGAGCTCTAAACAAGGTGCTCCGCTCTGCAAAGAGGCTTCCTGAGTACTTAGAATAATCAATGAGTCTTCTGGCCACCCTGGAAAAGCCATGTTCTAGCTTCTTCCTTCTGGCAGAAGATATAGTTTGCTGAGATGCAGGACATCTCAATATGCTAACAGCTTCTACCCACAAGCTGTTATCAGTTTGAATAGAGCACTTTAATGATCTTGCACTTGTATTGAAACTGTTTTATTCGATCAATTTCACAGTGACAATTGTTTATTGTTTTATTTGTTTTATTTCTGTACTTTTATTGTTGTTTTTTGTATGTACTTGTCTTGTGCACACTGGGGACTTTTAAAAATGTATTCCAATGTGGTTTTACTGCCTCTAAGATTCCTCACAGTTTTGCTAGTTTCTACACTAACATCATCAAGTGTGATTATCTGATTAGCGAGGTTGTCACGCAAACGCTTAGGACCGAACTACATTACTTCTGTCTTCTCTGGGTTGAACAGCAGATAGTTAAGGGTCATCCACGTTTTTTGGTCTTTAATGAAGGCACTAAGCCTTTCTAGCTTATGAGAGAGTGCAAGGCACTTTTTTCCTGTTGAGCACAATATTATACAACATTTGAAAACATATGCTATTAAAAAACCTATTTTTGTGAACTATTGAAGTATCAGCCTGATTGGAAGCACACATTATGCTGCACTGACCCTTGCCTGTACATTGTTCCCTCATCACCGTCCTGTCCTCCACAGTCGGTGCTGCTCCTGGGAGCCACTGCTCTCCTGTGCCTGGCCCTGGACCTGCTCTTCCTGCTCTTCTACTCCTTCTGGCTGTGCTGTCGCCGTAGGAAGAGCCATGACTCGGCCCACTCCCACGGAGGCTCCCAGCCCAGTGCTGACTGCTGCTGCACAGCCTGGTGCGTCATCATTGCCACGCTGGTGTGCAGGTGAGGTGGCTCAGGAAACTCTTCTTTGTGTCATCTGTCATCAGATAATTAGTATGTGTTATCTGGTATCTAATTGAGAGGGAGCCATGTGCAAACATGTAACTGCATGACAACACAACACTGATTTATCAGCTTCAAGGTTCATTGACTGTCTGTTCATCCCGCCTCCGTATAGTTACATTTTATTGTTTACATTATAAGGGACACTCTGACTCCCCCCCCACTCTCCCCCTCCCAGACACTCTCACCAGCTGACTCGCGGAGGATCAGGATCCTCAGGCGTTCCCAGGCGGGCTAAAATGAGAAAGCTGGGACCCCTGGGGCCTCCTCCTGGTGATACCTGTCTGAAAGAGATAGTTCTGCTTGGGAGCATCCCAAACAGAACCACAATCAGAAGGACTATTTTGCCTTTAGCGGGAAAAGAAAGTCACAAAGTAAGAATATACTTAGTCATTATGTTGCAACAACAAACAAGTAACAACAGTGGTAAGAGATTTAAAAAAAAATTAAGGCACACGCCACTGGTTCCTCTTACACAATTACACAATCTTGCCAGTCCACAGACAGTGTATGCAGTTCCTTTGTCCACAATCGCCCACATTATTTAGCTGTCCATCACTGCTGACAGTTTTATAGATGAGTAGTCCCCAATCCCCGGTCCAGGCCATGGTTCATTCGATACCGGGCCTCAAGGATAGTGGAATTATCTGAGTCTGAACGATGCTTTATTATGAAAATTGACCCGAGTTACATTTTGGTCTCGTGACACAAAATCACACAAGCTAGAAAAATGCTTAAAAAGTAGGCACACCGCTGCTATAGATGCACTTGTCCTCCCTCAAAGCCCTTTTTCATCCTTTTGTTGTGTCGCAGGCCCACAGCAGTTGCCATGGCGACTGCAGTAGGTTGGAGGCGGAGCTGAGTCTGTGTGCGTGACTCAAATATGACAAAAGCTTTTTCACCTTTAATAAATTATTGGAAAAAAGCGCATCATATTTAATATACAGTTCATTTGATTAGAGCAACTTTCCATGTTCCTCATTGACAAGTGAGTAAGGCATTGACGTTTTCTTATTACTTGTAATAAATTAAAATGGACATTTTGTATGTAAACTATATTGTCCAATATAGTCTATCTTGTCTAACAATGTATGTTTCTTGCAACAAATGCTTAGCATGATAGCCCACAAACATACTACAAATATATGTTATATGTATATGTTAGCCTTTACTGTATGTCAACAGATGTTGATATGGGTTGTGTTTTGTTTTTTCATTCACAGTATGTTGATATGCTAAAAAAAAAAAAATTTCGGGGCCAGGAGTTATGTTACTGCACTTTCCCCACAGTGACCTGAGTACAACATACAATGATCGGTCGACTGGTGGGGTCAAAGTTTTGATTGAAACTGGGCTCAAGAGGGGTTCCGGTTCCGGGTTGAACATGGCAACACCGTAGACGCGCACGTCCCCGTTAAAAAGTTAAAAATTCACCCCGTATGGCCCAAGCCTGAGGATAACACTGAGATTTAAAAGAAGATAACAAAAAGGGCTTGCGAAATGCCTGGAAGAAAAGTCAGAAAGACTGGTATCGTCAAACAACGCCGTAATGAAGACGTCGGGCTAGCGGAGGAGCTAGCTGGCGCGGAGGAGCTAACTGGTTCAGAGGAGGAATTAGCGGAGGAGCTAACATCAGATAGGGTGCGGGTTGGACAGAAAATGTCAGACTTGGATACAGTCCTGCGTGAGATAAGAGAATTCAGACGGGAAACGGTGGAGAGCCTGAACGCCATCAGGGAAGATATTAGGAAAGCAAACTGTAGGATTGATGAGACTGAGAAACGGATTGGGGATACGGAGGAGCGTATCCAGTATATGGAGGAGGCGACATGTGAGCTCATTCAATTTTGCAAGAAGCTGAAAGAGAAACAAGTAGACCAGGAAGGAAGAGCCAGAAGAGACAACGTTCGATTACATGGGATTAAAGAGGGAGCAGAAAAGGATGCTGAGTCTGTGAGTGCTTTTGTGGAAACTTTACTCAAAGAAAAGTTAGAGCTGCCAGTAGCATACGAACTCATTGTGGAACGCGCACACAGATCACTAGGCCCTCGCCAAGCAGATGGTGTACTGCCGAGATCCATAATAGCAAAGCTTTCAAGCTACAAATGTAAAGAAGACATAATCAAGAAGGCATGGGAGAAAAAGGGGTTTGTCTTTGAAAGATGCAGGGTGTATATTGACCATGATTATGCTCCTGAAGTGATGAAGATGAGGAAGGAATATGCTGAGGCGAAGAAAGTACTGAGGGAGAAAAAAATCAGATTCCAGACGCCGTTTCCATCGAAGTTCCGTGTCTTTTATGAGGGAGAGACACGCCTATACAACTCAGTAGCAGAGGCTACAAGAGATATGGCGGACAGAGGACTTCAGGTTCGAGTTGTGAAAGCGGCAATAGATCCAATGGAAAATATCCAGCGTCGGATGTGGCATACCGCCCAGAGGGCAGGGCGACAGGACCAGGGGAAAACACTAGAGATGGGATTCAAGGAGAAGCTGCAGGCTTTTAGAAGATCCTCAGAGACTGTACAAGAGTAAGACAATCAAACTGGAAGGACAGCATATTGCAGAAGAATAAAGTGCACTTTAATGTTCTAGTGATGGGGAAATATTGTCAAGATGATACACGGGGAACTTGTTTAAAAACTTGACTCATGGAAAGGGCTGAAATAGGTCGTGAGGGCCCCCTGAAGGTCAGGGGTTTTCCCTCAGAGCTGGGAAAGAACTCAAAGGTTGAAGAAGGTACAACCTCAGGTTTGGAATTAGTTTTAATTTTCTGTTTGTTCTCGTTCTTTTTTGTAGCACATGGGGTGGGAAAACAGGTTTGGAACAGTGTTTTAGTAAATGACGACACATAATAACGTGAAAGTGGCCTCTTACAATGTTAATGGCCTTGGTAACCCAATTAAAAGAAGTAAAGTAATAAGTAAAATGAAGAAGGAAGGATTCGGGATAGTTTTTTTTTACAGGAGACCCATTTAACAGTAAAAGAGCATGAAAAGTTGAAGAGGAATGGTTACAGTCAGCAATTCTCATCATCGTACGAGCCAGGTCGAAGGCGCGGGGTGTCAATACTGGTGTCAAGGAGGGTCACCTTTGAGATGCTGAAAATAATCAAGGACAAAGAGGCTCGGTATGTTTTGGTGACAGGCAGATTGGAGGGAGAATTAGTCACATTATTGAATGTTTATGCTCCTCCAGGATCAGACTGGTATTTTTTTAGACATATTTTTGAATTGGTAACAACTGAAGGAGAGGGAACATTGATTGGAGGAGGGGATTTGAATCAAAGGCTCAATGCATATTTAGACTCATCAGGACAAATACAACAAAATACTGTTGGCAAAAGAATAAGGAAACTGATCTCACAGCTAGGGATTCTAGACATATGGAGGGTGTAATTGCCAAAGCGTCCACTAGATGGCACTCGCAAACTGAATACAGCCGCTAGTAGCGAAGGAGAAGGTTTTGTTTTCAGTTCCAAATGCACAATGGCCACAGCCACGCAGCTCTGTGGCTCAAAGAGAAAATGTTTATAACAACTTGCAGCCCTCGATAAGCGGAGCGAGGTAAATGTTTTATGTGTTTGTAGGTGTTAGGGAGATATCATTTAGTTTATGAATGTATTTTGTACCTACATGCTACTTATTTGATATGTACTGTGTTTCTCTGTACAGTTTTCACGGTGAACATGAATATGGTGTTATCCATCCATCGTTCCATTTTCTACCCTTTAATCCATTTCTGGGTCAGGGGGGTGGCAGTCAGAGATGCCACCCAAGTCTCATAGCACCAGCCCTGAATATGGTGTTATGTCCATAAAAAATAATCACACCCGTCGAAACTTTGTCCTGCTTGTAACCTTGGGGGCCAGCAATAGAGGGAGCTAAACCCATCTAAAAAGGACTATACCTACTTCTCTGTACCACACTCTTCGTACTCAAGGATCGATTATTTTTTCATTTATGGGAAGGATAGGTACAAAATAGATAGCTGTGAGATTGGTGTAATGGACTTATCTGATCACTGTCCTTTATATTTAACTATGGCCTTGGGAACAGAACGGAAAAGAACAGTATGGCGATTGAACTCAAATTTGCTTCAAGGTCAAATGAAGGAGGAGATAGGAAAAGAGATTTGTGAATATGTAGAACAAAATGATAATGGGGAGGTTTCTCCATCAGTATTGTGGGATGCATGTAAGGCTGTTATGAGAGGGAAACTGATAGCAAGATCGGCATACAGAAAGAAAAAGAAACAGGAATTGCTTGAGAGATTACAGACAGATTTAAAAAGATTGGAAAGACAACATAAAATCACAGTAGATGGTACAATTTTGGAGGAAATAAAAAGAACAAAAGCAGAAATTAATAATATCTTAGCACAAGAAATTCAAAAGAAAATGATTTATACTAAACAAAGATATTACGAAGCCGGGAGTAAAGCAGCAAAATTACTGGCTTACAGGCTTAAAAAACAAGAATCTGGCAGACATGTTTACAAATTGAAGGATCCCCAGACAAATTCCATGGTATACAGGACTGATGAAATTCATAAGTGTTTTGAGTTCTTCTATGACAAGTTGTACTCTGAGAATTGTACCAGCAATGAATCCCAGATTGATAACTTTTTAGACAGTCTAAATTTGCCACGGATAACAGAAGAGCAAAATAAGAATCTGATAGCAGACATAACAACGAAAGAAATTAACCTGGCAATTTCTACATTTAAAAATAATAAAAGCCCAGGGGCAGATGGGTACATTGCTGAATGGTACAAACTTTATAGGACAACATTGATACCACTGTTACACAAAAAATTTAATTGGATCTTGAAGGGAGGAGCTATTCCTGTTTCGTGGCGAGAGGCAATCATTTCTGTCATTGCCAAAGAGGGTAAAGATGGAACAAATTGTGCAAATTATAGGCCTATAAGTGTTCTCAACATAGACTACAGATTATTCACAGCTATGGCACGACGCATGGAAAACATTTTACCAGACATTATTAGTCTAGATCAAACAGGTTTTATTAAACATAGACAAACTCATGATAATATTCGTAGGACGTTGCATATTATGCAACATATTGATGACGAGAAAGTGGAAGCAGTGATAATGGGAATGGACGCGGAGAAAGCTTTTGACTCAGTCAGGTGGGACTTCCTGTACAGAGTAATGAAGAGGTTTAACTTCCACGAGAGGTATATTGGAATGGTCCAGGCGCTGTACACGGGTCCTATAGCAAGAATCAAGGTTAATGGAAGCTTATCCGACAGTATCAAATTAGAGAGGGGGTGCCGTCAGGGGTGCTCAGTGAGTCCCCTGCTATTTGCCATCTTTCTGGAACCTCTAAACCAGTATATAAAACAAAATGATAGCATTAAGGGGGTTGTGGAGGCGGGAGTGGAAGAAAAAGCGGCCTTTTTTGCTGACGACATTGTGATATATTTGGGGAAGCCAGACTCATCATTGCCGGTGCTGATGACATCCTTTGAGGAGTTTGGGAAAATGTCAGGGTACAAGGTCAATGTCCTTAAAGGTCAATGTAATTAAAAGTCTTAACCTTTAATTACAAACCAAACCAATCTGTACAACAAAGTTACAAAGTTAAATGGAATATGATGTCTATGAAGTACTTGGGCATTAATTTACCAAAAAAGCTAGATACATTGAAATCTTCTAATTATGACCGAATTATATCAAATATAAAAATTGACCTGGATAGATGGAACTTAGTACCATATTTGAGTCTGGTATCAAGAATTGAAGTGATTAAAATGAACATTCTGCCCCGTATGTTGTATCTGTTCCAAAACCTGCCTATAGAGGTGTCTGAAAAAGAATTTAAAGAATGGGATAAAATCATTTCGAGATTTATTTGGCAAGGAGCTAAACCTAGAATAAGATATAGGACATTGCAATTACCTAAGAGGGATGGGGGGCTATCCCTACCTTGCCTAAAACATTATTTCCAGGCTGCACAATTGAGGATTCTGATCAACTTATGGGACCCTGAGTATTCCGCAAAGTGGAAAGATATTGAACAAAGATTGATGGGGGAGATACCGTTACAATGTATATTAAGTGATGAAACATTAACGACCCATCTGAAATTAAAAATAAACCCATGGTTGGGGGTACCGGTTAAAATCTGGACTGGAATAATGAAGAAGTATCATTTGACGAAGTATAATAGGTATTTGAGGTGGATCGCCTATGATGTAGACTTCACACCTAACAAATTAGATGCCAGATTCAAATTGTGGGATAATGGGCCAAAAATGCATTGGGAAGTTTTAAAGGATAGAAGGGTAATTTGTTTCCAGAAAATGAAAGATGATTATGGCCTCCAGAACCATGATTTACAGTTACAACACTATTTGGGAAATAACATTAAAAAAGATGCTTTAGAATCTTGGCCAGGTATAATTAAAGTGATGATGGATGCATATGGATCACAATCCGGGAGCAGAGTTATCTCTAAACTATACAGGATTCTGGAGGACCTAAAATCTGATGACACTGTATATGTAAAAGAGAAGTGGGAAAGGGAGGCAAAAATAGTCATATCAGTAGAAGAATGGGTGGACATGAATCAATATCAGTGGAAAACCACAAATTCATTATCATGGCGAGAATACGGGTGGAAGAATACACTAAGGTTTTTTGCTACTCCTGCTCAGAGAAAAAATGGAGAAACAAAATGTTGGAGGTCTTGTGGTGAAACAAAAGCAGATCACTTCCACATCTTCTGGGGATGCTCCCTCATAAAACAATTTTGGATAGATTTGAAAGTGGCAATAGAGGAAGTGGTAGAAGTTAAAATTCCAACCAGTTTTGAAATTATGTATTTGGGGAAAACAGAAAGTTTGAATTTTAAAAGAAGAAATGACTACAAAATGTTTCGAATAATGCTTTTGGCCAGTAAAAAAGCTATTACCAGGAGATGGCGAGGTGATCTGATTCCTACTGTGGAAGAATGGACGGATGTAATGTTGAACATATATAATATGTAAAAAATAAAAGCGTCTGTCAGGGTGGAGGTGGACAACTTTAATAAAATCTGGGAGAGATGGTTAAAATATGTTCGGCAACATAGGACAGATTTTGTATAAAAAACAATTGGGGAGGTCATTAGATTGAGAGATGTGCATTTACTTAACAAGAATTATTTCATAGAAAGAGTTAATACGCCCTGTTTTTAAGCTACTTTTATTTTTGTTTATTTTGTGTTCTTTTACGATTAAGGAAAAATATTGTCATTTGAATACATGTTCAAGGATAGATTGTTAGGCTAAGCATCGTTATTTTTTTATGTATATGAGCCTTGCTATTTGAAATGTAAACTGTGATGACAATAAAAAGAAAATTATTAAAAAAAAAGAAACTGGGCTCAAGGTGGAGCGGAGATGTCCATGAAAACGGGGAAAAAAAGTCCCATTTTGCCGTTCCGCTGCTCAAACAACGTTTAACTGATCAAAATTTCACGAAATCAAAATAATGGTACATGTGTTTAGACGATGTGGAGCGATTTTGAGACAAATCGGTGAAAGGCAAATTTGGAAAGTTTTCATGCATGTTCAGGGGTCAAATTACGGTTCAAAGTGCAGAAGAATTTTTCGAAAGTCTCAGAGCAAAAAAAATGGCAGGTTTTCAATCATTTTAAAGCATTTGAGTTAATTACGCACGCAACTGTCATGTTTTGGTGAGTGACGGGCCAAGACACGCACCGCAACCCCTTGCATTCCCCATTGTGAAAGCAACAGGCCCTTACCCCGTTCGGGGCTCGAGCCTATTAAGCTTAGTTGTAGGAATGACAAATAAGTGAAGGCAAAAACATGCAAATTATTAGCTATCATCAATAATGCCAATAATGATTGGGCATTTGTGAAGTGCTTTGTGACTCTGGTCTGTGAAAGACGCTATATAAAGATTACTTACTTTTTCTTTTACCGTATTTTCCGGACTATAAGAAAACGGATTGTAAGCCGCGTCAAATTTTCAGTAAGAAATTAAATTTTGTACATGTACAAGCCGCACCGGATTGTAAACCGCACCTGTTATTGATATTGAAAATTGTAACTCAAAAACGTTCATCATCGTTCTTATTACTGTAAGAAGTGATAGATACTGTAATAAGAAAGATAAGGAGCGACATTACCAGTGCTCTTTTCACTTTCATGTCTATACAAAGAACGAAAACATGAGACACAAAGATATTATAAGTGAGGACTTTTAAACTTATAATCTGCTTGGTATCAAACAAATATATATTACAAATTATTTTTCTCTAATGCTGCCTGTAACCTTGAAATATACTGTCTTGTTTCTTCTAGTATTTTCCAAGTTGGGTGAGTATAAATGATTGACATATACAATTTAATTGGACCTCTGTGAACTGCTCATCAACTGTTGGTCTACTCTACAGTTACTTGGAAATCTTGTTTTGGCACCACACAAAAAAATAAAAAAATTAAGCCTTCAAAATGCAGGAAAAAAGCCGCGGCCTGTAGTTAGAAAAATACGGTACTTACACATGCACAACTCCTTAGAATCTCACCAGAGCTCGGCCAGTCACTTGTTTTTCACGAAGAGTGAAAAACAAGTGACTAAATATTAATTTTGTTGTAATCACCACCAGTGGTTTTCAAAGATGATTTCAAGTGAACCAACTCGCCATTTCATAGATCCGACACTGTGGATGTGTATAAATATGGCTGTGTGAATTATGTGCTCTAGTAACCCAGTTATCACAGTCACCACAGGGCCCCAGGGCACCACACACACGCACACACACACAGACCTCTCACAGCTGTCTCCTGCTGTTTGAGGACTATTGCTTTCAGTCTTTATGGAAACTCTACAAAAAATGTGGGCAAGAATAAAATTCGTAATTTTAATAGAAAAAAATATTGTCTACTGTCTATTGCTTAATGGTCAAATGTATTGTGTTGCAGTGCTGGCATTGCTGTGGGTTTCTATGGCAATGGTGAATCCAGCGACGGAGCCACACGATTGGCTTACTCACTCCGCCACGCCAACCGCACAGTGTCTGGGATCAACAAGCTGGTGAGGGCAAAACAAAAAAGACTGGATCAAGGAGAATGTTTTGGAGCTCTCACATTGTCGATCTGGGAAATGAGTGTTGTTTGGACCTGTTTGCTTTTCAAGTTTTTTTTTTTTAACTATGGACATGTCAGCATAAGTTTGCTACTTTCAAAATAAGTCTCATAAAGTGAGTACCCAAGACCAGAGGACATGACATTATAATGAGCTACAGCAACTTCATAGACAGCAATATAGACGCTTAGAATGTAAGGAAGAGGTTCCCCCAAGAATAAGTCATTAGTCTGTTGATGATTAGCCTTTTTTAACCTATTTTTCAATTGGTAAAAAAAACAACACACACAATTCCCCTAACGATCCACAGTTTAAAAAAAAAACATTACAAAATGCAGCTTTGATGGACAAGAACCCAAATCTCACATGAAGATGAAGTGCATTGATCAGTAGCTTAGAGTCATCAGTAAAACAATCTGTCACTGTACAATATTTCTGGGTTTGGATATTTCTGGGTTTGGAACCATTTTCTCACTCTTATGAGTATAACATACTGTATAAGAGGTCAATAAAAACATTCTGGGTTTAATAAAGACTGACGATCCTTACATGTGGCTCAGATTGGGTAGTCACTTGAGGAACAATACTTTTATGCATAATGACACAGCATCAAGCCGTGCAACAGTGATATGTAAGAGAAGCTCTTACGTAAGTTTGGGCTGTCCTTTATTAAGTTGTTCTTGTAAAAAAATATGTTGGAACTTAACTGAACTTCGTTAGTCCAATATAATGTGATTGCTTTTGGTCCTGGGTGCGCTGCGTTTTTTTAATATGAAATGCTGAAAACATGACTCACTTTTTCGTCTGAAAAAGCTGATCAAAATATTTGACAATTGTGATTTGTGAGTGCATTTGAAAACAATGTATAATTTTGTAGTTGGTTAGTCAGAAGCTAGATGGATTTTATTTCAAAGTTTTATGTGTTCTGAAAGTTAGGTATGCAGTTCTGTGAGAATACTGTCACAGTTGCCAATGGGAAAACGCGTCTTTTTTACCTATTATATAAAACATGTGACGCACAATTTGGAATCATTGTGTATTACATTAGAATTAGGCAATTACTACTTTAAATTGCTCCTGTGGTGTTCCAAACTTGTGTTTTTCTGCACAGGTGACAGACAATGGGCTAGCTCTGAATCAGACAGTGGGAGAGAGCCTTGAGCAGCTGAGCGTTGCGTTCCAGGAGCAGCCTGAGCATGTGTCCATGGTCCAGAAGCTCCAGGGCCAGCTAGACGAGCTGCTGCGGCTCGTGGAGGATGTGCCCTTCTGGACCAACACCCATGTGTCTCTGGAGGAGCTGGCCCGCACCACAGAGGCCTTGGACTTCTACAGGTCAGTCAGGACACTTACCCGCTTCTCTGACGTTTGAAATTAATCGTATGAGAGATGGACGCTCCTTAGTTATATTCTCTTTCAGCCCCTTTTGCATGTAATTCGAAAGCATCGAAAGTGATCTACATCTTACATCTGACGAAACAGTGACAGGGGGATAATAAGAACAAGTTGCTGCAATGTGCAAGATCGGAAATTAAATAAAACATCTAAACAATTACATTTATATAGAGTGATAAATGTTTGTCGGTTAATTGTTTACATAATCCCTTTTAACATTGTTATATGTTCAAATATCTTATACCAATATTCATACAGGAACAGTAAAAGGCCGTCCCTATAGCGCTTTACAAACACAAGACTTCCCAGAGTTCAGTTGACTGATTTCTGGAGCACCTGCTGATTGTGCTTCAGTCATGTGCACTTTCTACACTATAAGCTTTCTAAACCAGGAAAAGCCAAGGTTAAAGACCACCATTATGCTTAAATGCCAAAATGAACCCAGCTAAGTGCTGGACTCTACTGGCTGCGTGGAAAATGGAATAGTGGCCGTGTTTAGGGCTTTGTTTTAACCTCAGACCAATCAAACAAAAGAAGCGGTGTGTGATTTGCATGAGCTGTGGCTATGATCTATGCAAAGCACGGCATATTGAAGCATCGAGGACGTCGTAATGGATGAGGCAAAACTTAGTGAAAGCAATTGGTAAAAATGGGTGGAGAGAGAAAAGAACTCCAACATATCCAGGCTTTTTTGAAAGCGAGTCAATATTGACATTAAGCTGACATTTTTTTGTTTTTTTTAATAATCATTGTCATTAACAAACCCTTATAACCAAGATCTATAAGCATATATCAATACATGTATATGATAATGTTGTAGAAATATTTTTCCTTTGTATTTCCAATGTCGATACAGTGCAAAAAGTCACTGGATTTAACTGAAGAATTTGGCTGTTTAGCTGGACTAAAGTTCCAATGCCGGCCTTTAAAACCTCAAAATTATGCTCACGGTCTCCACTATTCCTGATCAAATCACACTGAAGTTAAGTGCTTTAGATTTCACAGGTATGCTCTAATAATACGTCACTTTCATTTCCATGTTTTCTAGACAAATGACAGGACATTTTGTGGCATGACATTGAACAGTAGAGGAAGTGTACACTCTCGCTCCATTTTTCTTCTTTTGAAGCTGCAATGATTACAATCTTATATACCTTTGGTTCGTCATTTTCTTTTTCCATACTTTTTCACAGGTTTCTTCTTGACAGATAAATATTCAGAATCTGAGTCGACTTCATAACTTATGTTAAGGGACTCTTGACTAAGCTGCACAAACAAAAAAATATTTTAATAATTCACACACAGACATACAGTACATAGGCACACAAGCTTCCTGGATGCATAGAGCTGACCTGCACGTTTCTTTGCTCTCTGCAGATGGCTGGGCTATCTGAGTTTGCTGCTCTTTGATGTTCTCATCTGTCTGCTGGTACTGTTCGGACTCATCCGCAACTCCAGAGGAACGCTTATTGGGTACAGTATGTTCTACCACCGGAAAGAGCTTTCTGGTCATCTCTTACATGTGTAAGACAAACAAACAGACACATGTTCCCAGCAACTAAATGTTCTACATTCTTAAAACATAAAATGTAAATATCCCCACAATCATGTTTTAGGGCAGGGGTCACCAACCTTTTTAAAGCTGAGGGCTACCTTAACATTCCACTAATATTTCAAAAAATCTTACAAATATTCACAAAAAAGGGAATTTGTAGTATATGTAAATCAATTTATTCTTTGTCAAAGTGACATCTATTTTGTGTAAATGAACATGAACATGTCACAATTTAATTCAACAAAAAAAGAACTCATTGTTTTTTCCAAATACTTGAGATTGTGTCATTTCCAACTTTTGCTTTATAAAATGAACAATGATCAATGGACCCAGGGTAACATGGTGTTTTACTAAAACACTGTTCAATGTTGTTTGTCAGTTAATGAGAAACCTGGGATTCCATGATGTCCACTAATTTGCTGTACTCTGGTGTCTACAGTAGTTTGACACTGCCACTCTCAGTGACTCTTCCAGATTTGAATCACTGTAGGTGTGTTCTGTGTTTATTTTTTATAAAATTCACATTGGAAAAGGCTGATTCACAGAGATAATTGGACCCAAAGAGACAAGCAACCTTCATAGCTGCTGTGCAGATAGATCTGTACTATTCCATGTCCACTGGGTTCCAAAAATTTGGGCAACTCAGATGTGTTTTAAGGTACAGGTCTTATTTCCATTTCCAGCTGCCCTGCATCCAAGGTGAGGGCCTGTGCCTGCAAGATCTACTGACATAAAGGGATTTGAATGAATGACACACATGGTTCAATTTGGCTCAAAATCCACAAAATCTTTCATCAGTCTGTTAATCACCTTGTTAGTAGTTTTCTACAGCTTTATCAAAAGCCGCACTGATGCAGAAACATTGTCACTGAGAACTTTTTTCACAGAGGGGAAGTGTCAACACTTTTTCTTTTCAAATGCGCAGAGAAAATGTTAATTTTAGCTTTAAATGTGTTTACAGCACCTTATATATTTGTGACAGTCTTACATGCCTTGCAACTCACAGTTCAAATTGTTCAGTTTTTCTGTGATGTCTGTTAAAAAGGCAAGATCAAGCAACCACTCAGTGTTGTCCCAGAGTGAGGTGTCCTCTTCTCTGCTCTGCATAAACTCATTTTCAAAATCCGCCCTCTGCTGAGCCATCGGATTTCTCCAAAAGCACCTTAAATGTCTTGTGTTGTTTGGACTTTGTCCCGAATACAATTGAGGATTTGATAACGGGGGTCATAACGTGGTCAAACCCGGTCACTTTCGCACATATCGCCTGCGTGGTGGATGATAGAGTGGTAGTGTAGGAAAGGTGGAAAGTCTTGGTCATTCTTGCAATGCGTAATGAAGCCCGACCCCCCGACATCCTGCCATTGCGGTGCACCATCGGTGTTACTGACACGAGCTTCTCCAGCGGCACTTTTTTCTCCACACAAAAAAGTTTTCATCGCGATGTAGATGTCCATTCCTCGCGTAGTTGTTCTCAGTGGTATGAGGTGAGGAGCTCTTCTTTAGCGGAAAAATCCTCAAATACCATCCGAATGAACACCATTAATTGAGCTGATCTACTGCTGTCCACAGACTCGTCACATTGGATGCTGAACCACTGGCATGTACTTAAGTCCTTGTCCAGCAGTCCAGGACATAGCAGACACTCTTCTGGTTGTTCACAGTACTTGCCCAAGTTGTACTTCAGCTAGACTTGAGATAATCACAGATCATTTTTATTGTCTTTAAAAACAGTCTCTACGATTATCATCAGAGCACCCAATAACAATCTGTCCATCAGAAAACGTCTTCTTGTTTTTATTATAATCAAGTAATGTGTAGCTCTGAATTAAGCTTCGGTTGCCTTTTGGGCCTTCTTCATGGTCTTATGAAAAAGCTCTGCTGCTTGGTCAAAGCGCCTTTAACTCATGCGCTTTCTTCACCCGAAACTTTTCTTGGGGGGAAAGTTTTGGTGGAAGCTACCGTGAGTGGTTTGATAAGTGACGCGCCACATGTTCTGCTTTGAAATCGCCAACACCTGTCCTCTCCAATCAAATAATAAATATATATATTATATGACATATAATATTATATAACAGTACATATATTGATATTTTGATTTAAAATGTAAATTAAATTACTTCCTTTTCTGCTCCCTCTATATCCCATGTAATCGTACGTTGTCTCTTCTGGCTCTTCCGTCCGGGTCCCTAACTTGTTTCTCTTGCAGCTTCTTGCAAAATTGAATGAGCTCACATGTCGCCGCCTCCATAGACTGGATGACGCTCCTCCGTACCCCAATCCGTTTCTCAGTCGCATCAATCCTACTGTTTGCTTTCCTAATAATCTGTCCCCTGATGGCGTTCAGTGCTCTCCACCGTTTCCCGTCTGAAATTTCCTCTATCTCACGCAAGGACTGTATTCCAAGTCTGACATTGCTGTCCAACCCAGACAACAACCCGCTATCGGATGTTAGCTCCCCGCTAAGTCCTCCCTGAACCAGTTGCTCCTCCGCGCCTGCTAGCTCCTCCGCTAGCCCGACGGCGTCATTACGGCGTGTTTGACGATACAAGTCCTTTCTGACTTTTCTATCCAGCATTTCGCAAGCCCGGTTTGTTATCTTCTTTTAATCTCAGGGTTATCCCTCAGGCGTGGGCCATACGGGAGGTGAATTTTTAACTTTGTAACGGGACGTGCGCGTCTACGGTGTTGCCATGTTCAAGCCCGGAACCGGAACCCTCTTGAGCCCAGTTTCAATCAAATCTTTGACCCCACAGGTCGTCCGATTCATTGTATGTTTGTACTCAGTCACTGTGGGGAAAAGTGCAGTAACATAACGCCGGGCCCCGAAATTTTTTTTTTTTTAGCATATCAACATACTGTGAATGCGCGCGCGCGCAACAACAACCCAACCCATATCACCATCGGTTTTGACATACAGTAAAGGCTAACATATACATATAACATTCTATTTGTAGTATGTTTTGTGGGCCTATCATGCTACATTTGTGCAAGAAACATACAGTGTTTAGACAAGATCGACTATAATGGACAATAAAGTTTACATACAAAATGTCCATTTAAGTTATTAACAAGTATTAAGAAAACGGTCAATGCCTTATCGCACTTTGTCAATGAGGAACATGGAAAGTTTGGCGCTAAGCAAATGAAACTGTTTATTAAATATGATGCGCTGTTTTCCAATATTTTATTACAGGTGCGCGCGCGAGCTTTGTCATTATTTGAGCTCACGCACACAGACTCCGCTCCGCACTCCAACCTACTGCAGTCGCCATGGCAATATGCTCGTGGGCCTGCGACACAACCTAAAGGATGTAAAATGGGCTTTGAGGGAGGACAAGTGCATCTATAGCAGCGGTGTGTCTCGTTTGTGCCTACTTTTAATGCATTTTTCTAGCTTGTGTGATTTTGTGCTCACGAGACCAAAATGTAACTCGGGTACATTTTTCAATAATAAGCATCGTTCAGACTCAGATAATTCCTCTTTCCTTGAGGCCACGTGGATTCGTCGATGGAACCATGGCCTGACAGGGGAGTTGGGGTACTACCTCATCTAATAAAACTGTCAGCAGTGATGGACAGCTAAATATGTGGGCGATTGTGGACAAAGGAACTGCAGTACACTGTCTGTGGACTGGCATGATTGTGTAATTGTGTAAGGGAGCTCCAGTGGCGTGTGCCTTAATTTTTTTTTAAATCTCTTACCAACTGTTGTTACTTGTTTGTTGTTGCAACATAATGACTAAGTATATTCTTACTTTGTGACTTTCTTTTCCCGCTAAAGGCAATATAGTCCTTCTGATTGTGGTTCTGTTTGGGATGCTCCAAGCAGAACTATCCTTTTCAGACAGGTATCACCAGGGGAGGCCCCAGGGGTCCCATGCTTTCTCATTTTAGCCCGCCTGGGAACGCCTGAGGATCCTGATCCTCCGCGAGACGGGATGAACAGACAGTCAATGAACCTTGAAGCTGATAAATCAGTGTTGTGTTGTCATGCAGTTACATGTTTGCACATGGCTCCCTCTCAATTAGATACCAGATAACACATACTAATTATCTGATGACAGATGACACAAAGAAGAGTTTCCTGAGCCACCTCACCTGCACACCAGCGTGGCAATGATGACGCACCAGGCTGTGCAGCAGCAGTCAGCACTGGGCTGGGAGCCTCCGTGGGAGTGGGCCGAGTCATGGCTCTTCCTACGGCGACAGCACAGCCAGAAGGAGTAGAAGAGCAGGAAGAGCAGGTCCAGGGCCAGGCACAGGAGAGCAGTGGCTCCCAGGAGCAGCACCGACTGTGGAGGACAGGACGGTGATGAGGGAACAATGTACAGGCAAGGGTCAGTGCAGCATAATGTGTGCTTCCAATCAGGCTGATACTTCAATAGTTCACAAAAATAGGTTTTTTAATAGCATATGTTTTCAAATGTTGTATAATATTGTGCTCAACAGGAAAAAAGTGCCTTGCACTCTCTCATAAGCTAGAAAGGCTTAGTGCCTTCATTAAAGACCAAAAAACGTGGATGACCCTTAACTATCTGCTGTTCAACCCAGAGAAGACAGAAGTAATGTAGTTCGGTCCTAAGCGTTTGCGTGACAACCTCGCTAATCAGATAATCACACTTGATGATGTTAGTGTAGAAACTAGCAAAACTGTGAGGAATCTTAGAGGCAGTAAAACCACATTGGAATACATTTTTAAAAGTCCCCAGTGTGCACAAGACAAGTACATACAAAAAACAAAACAATAAAAGTACAGAAATAAAACAAATAAAACAATAAACAATTGTCACTGTGAAATTGATCGAATAAAACAGTTTCAATACAAGTGCAAGATCATTAAAGTGCTCTATTCAAACTGATAACAGCTTGTGGGTAGAAGCTGTTAGCATATTGAGATGTCCTGCATCTCAGCAAACTATATCTTCTGCCAGAAGGAAGAAGCTAGAACATGGCTTTTCCAGGGTGGCCAGAAGACTCATTGATTATTCTAAGTACTCAGGAAGCCTCTTTGCAGAGCGGAGCACCTTGTTTAGAGCTCTCCTCACTTTGGCTGTGATGTTACCAAACCACACAGTCTCAGAACAAACAAGCAAACTTTCAATGGTGCAGCGATAAAAGTTAAGCAGAATCTTAGAGTTAGTGGTAAATTCTCTAAGTTTTTGCAGAAAGTAATGAACTTAAACTTAAATTTAAACCCATAACTCTCAAAAAGGAAAAGCCCTGGGTCCTCTATCCGGCATCATCCCTCCTCCTCCAGGAGGTGCAGTCACAACTACACAGAGGACAGGTAGTGATGAAAATCAAATGGAAAAATATGTCCTTTATTCGTCCCACAATGGGGAAATTTCAGTTTGATGCATATACATGTACATATACACATCAAGGCAAGCAGCAAACATCACTTCCGCGCTCCTTGTAGGCAAAGTGGGTCAAGTGTCTTTCCCATGGACACAACGACAGCAGACATCAGTGGTCAGAGGAGAAGGCCTCGTGGTGGGCTCGAACCCACGACCCTCGGGCTCAAAGGCCTATGCTCTTGTGGCGACAGTGGCAACCACTGTTGCCCCCGAAGTGGTGATGAGTATGTTAGTTTGGAATTGAAAACTAATATAAGATCTCTTATCTTTTCTTAATGCAAAAGGGGGCTTCTTTTTAACCAACAGGCCCTGCTCTTCTCACTGTTCCTCGCACCTCTGGCTGCTCCACCTCCTCCACTTGCTGCTACTCTTCTTGCTCCTCTGCCTCCTCCTCTCCCCCATTCAAAGTCACTGCTCTCAGAAAGTCACCATTCCAGAATGTTGTGTTTTGTCAGAACTTCATTGATGTAAACCATAAAAAAATATATGGAATTTACCATAAAAGTAAATATTTTAGTATTACAATGTATGTTTATAGATACAAAACCTACGAGTATTTTTGTTCCACTTTCAAACATCTTTCCTTTGTGTATTATTATTATTATTATTATTTGTTCACAAACATGAGTTAAATCCACATCTTTTACACTTTAAACATTTAGGTTTGTGAAGGGACTCCCATGAAGCACAACTGCTTATATGTAGGGGGCCCAATAACATTCACATGTCGAAAAACAGGACAACAACAACAACAACAAAAAACATCCTCCCACAACCCCCTCAACCCCCCACCCCAGTTCAATGCATTTTAAGACTGCCAGTAGCAGTCATGCCTTACCCATGTCTGTCAAACATATACAGTCCGCTTCAACACACTCACATCAGTTCTGCAATAACATGGTACAGGAAATAGAATTAAAACCTGTACATGTTGGTACTCATGTTGGTACTCATTCATTCAGATCTTACAGGGGCAAGACCAAATATAATATTAAGATGATTGTCCGCTATAGGGGGTTGCATTATGCATAATGCAGCAGTAGTTTATGCTTTAGAATTTTTTTTTTTATATTAAGAGAAGATGATTCTTTTATGGAGCTGTCCAGCTCATTCCAGATCTCAGGGCCCTTGCATGCTACGCTAAAACTAGTGCACTTCAGCTTGCGCTTTTTCCCCAGCTGTAAGGGTATCCCTCTATTGAGTTGTGACTGTGGGGAGCACTGGTCACCGGGATGAGACTGGAGAGCCTAGCATTTAGTTTGTATACTACATTATACATAATGCAAGCATTATGAAAAAATTTGCACTCAGTGGGCTTCAGTAGCTTAAACCTGTAAACGAGAGGATCAGAGGGAGCATCATATTTAGACCAAGCAAATTACACAAATTAATTTATTTTGCAGAATCTGTAGCTTTTCAAGGTGGCTTGGATACGTGTTACACCATATTGCATTACAATGATTAAGGTGTGGTTCAAATACAGACCGGTAAAGAGTTAGGAGAGCTTCAAGGGGTAGATAATGTCTCAATTTGAGAAATTTAGATAGTTCATTTGATTAGGTAATCTATGTATTTTTTAAAGTTCAAAAATTGATCCAAATATATTCCTAAAAATGTGATGTTCTCTACTCTCTCAAGAACTCTTCCATTAATTTGTATTGTTTTTGGCTTCTTCACAAGATTCACTTTACTAAACATTAGCTGAAGTCTGACATCAAAATACACACTCACATTGATTTGGTCTTAATATCTTACAAAACAGTAACATTTAGGGGCAAAAGTGGCTCAGTTGGTAGAGCATTGGCCTTTGGGCCTGAAGGTTGTGGGTTCCAGCCCTCTGCTGTTGGACTCCTGAACACTTCATAACCTCTCCCCCCGCCCTTTAGAAGTCACCTTACTGCCCCTTATACAGTCCCCTTACTGCCCTTTATAACGTCACTTTACTGCTGTCACCTTATATTGTGTAATTGTAATCGTATTAATTCTATTTTAGATTGTATTTGTTAGAAGTGCTGCTAATTTTATATTATTATTATTATTTTTATACCTTCTCCTTTACCTCTCTTTCTGACTGTTGCACTGAGCCAAAGCAATATCCAAGTCTGTGACTTCCTGTTACTTATGTGGCAATAAAAATGATTCTGATTCTGTGGGGATCCTGTCTTTATAATCCTAGAATCCAAGACAATCTTCCCCAGACGCAATCGCTGCTTCCTGTCTGTCAGGAAGTCAGTGATCCACCTGCAGGTGGAATCAGGCACATATGTTTTACAGATTAAATGACCCAAGAGTAGTCAGTTAGGCTAAGCGATACATCCTTCTGTGTGTACAAAAGAACAGTTAAAACAGTCTTTGCATGCCTTGTGGTCTGAGCCCAGACGTATGCAATCTTTAAACTACAGGCTTACTACTGCTCAGTGAGTAAAGACAAAGCACTAATGCAGTGTCTGATCAGAGTGGCCTCAAATGCCATCCAATTATGCCACCCCATAATGCCCGATTACATTGCCCATTACACAAGAGCAGAATATTACATAACGCTCCACTGAAAAGGAGAGTGATGTATGTGTGTCCAAGGCAACTGCCCTTACAGAATAACATTGAGGCTGCACCAACTGAGTCCATAGAGAGAATGACTTTAAAGAAACTATATTAGCAGGATAGTAAAACCCTCTGGAAACGCTCATAAAGAAAAAGCCATAAGATAAGATAAGATAAACTTTATGGTCCCAAGGGAAATTTGCTGTAGGATACAGTGCTACACAGATCTGCATGAATGAAGAAAGAAAAAAAAAACAATTACAGGGAAGTGCAGTGCCATCTCTTATCATGCAATATAATAAATGTATCCACATTTAATCTGCAAAGCCATGGACTTGTTTCTTTGATTACAGCCACCGTGCTATCCACTCAGCACGGTGGCTGAGTGGATAGCACTCTCGCCTCTCAGCAAGAAGGTTCTGGGTATGAATCCCGGTCGGAACAGGACCTTTCTGAGTGGAGTTTGCATGTTCTCCCTGTGTCTGCGTAGATTGCCTCCGGCTACTCCGGTTTCCCCTACCACTGAAAACATGTGCAATAGTTCAGGGTGAATGAGTTTGTGAGGGTGAATGTGGGACAACGGATGAAAATTAGCCAATGGCTACAATCTGGAGTGATGTGTTCATTAACATGTACTGTCCCAACCAAATAAACAATAAATGAATAAATAGATTGAGATTTCATATGAACTAGTGAATGGGTGACAGTGGCTCAGTTGGTAGAGCATTGGCCTTTGAGCCTGAAGGTCGTGGGTTCGAGCCCACCACAAGACCTACTTCACGACTCCCACTGATGACTGCTGTCGTTGCTCTGTGTACTGGGTGCAGCTCTGACTGCCACCCCTCTGTCCCAGAAATGCAATAAAAAAACATAGTTGGCAGAACTTAATAATTGTAGTTCTTCAAAACGTAAAACAATAATTTGATGCCTTCAACTCAAAAATTCTGTGCAGTCGGTTGCCTTTTGAGTTGAACTAACTTTTCCTTTTTACAGTGAATAGCACTCTCGCATTCTCTCAGCAAGAAGGTTTCGGTTACCACTAAAAACATGTACAATAGGTATGAATGTAATGAGTGAGTGGATGGATGGTGCTGTTGTTTGGATCTTTGATGCGCCAGCGTGTTCTGCAACTCGCTTCTGTCATCACCGTGTGTGTGTGTGTGTGTGTGTGTGTGTGTGTGTGTGTGTGTGTGTGTGTGTGTGTGTGTGTGTGTGTGGAGAAACTATCTAAGACCTCTGAACAATTGTAAAGGGCATTGGTTGACCTTGGTCTGTAAAATGCACTATAGAAATGAACCTTATTTACTTACTCATTGGTATAGAAACTGATTGACGTTACAGCAGACCGATCAGGAGCGGGGAGCAAGTGACGAGTGAATGACAGAAAATTTGATGGATGGATATGTACATAATAA